TATCTATCTATCTATCTATCTATCTATCTATCTATCTATCTATCTATCTATCTATCTATCTATATCATCTTTTCTTCCTTTCTATCTTCCTCCCTCCCTCCATCCTTCTCTCCCTTTCTTTCCCCACACCAACCTTCTTAGCACTTAAACCAGATTTATTTCTTTGTCAGTGTGTTTTAAGATTAAATTGCTATGTCCCCCTTTTAAGCCATTCTTTCTTTCATCATAGCTTGTTTTCTTAGAGGACATTCTGCTGAATATAATGGGAGTATCTGATCTAAACATTCTCAAAAAGTGGGGTCACATACATAGTAAGAAACTGGGATAAAGGATGGCCTTGCCTATCACTAGGAACAACCCCAGGCCCTAATGATAAACACTTATAAGCTTAGCAACCTGCTGGTGTAGAAATGCAATGCATTCAAAGGATTTGAAATACGATGTACTAGGAAGCGTGAGTCTGAAATAATACTCCATATATTGCGTTGCATCGGATTGTTGCAGTAGGATTGTTAATGCACTATTCTTCTGTAAAGGATATTAGCAAATAGCATATTGATCAGCCTAATGTGTCCCTATATATAATTGGCAAGCAACAGGAAAAGAGGAAGGGGACTTTTTAATTGGAAGATCACAAATGCAGCTGCACCGAGAGAGATTCTTTCTTAATCTCTTTTCTGATGTTGTCAGATTGACGATCACTATTCAAAGTGTAAGATGGAATGGAATTTACGCTGACCTGGCAGTAAATAACCCTAATTTTCCATGGTTGAATTCTTTTTCTAATTTTCAACAATAAAATAAAATATATTTGCCTTGCAGCTTCATATCTTGTGTGTTTTTCTATGATCTAGCTGTTGCCAGATGGTGCCAGTCTTACAAAACCCGTAATTCCCAGCTCCTGTGGCACTTACTACCGAGGGAAGAAAGACTGAATAATCATAATTAGAGTACCATTATTTAGATTTACAGGGAATAACAATCGACAATTATCATGCTAAGCATTAATCTCCAGATTGTAGTAAGTGAATAGGAGACAACTACAAGTAGTCCAAGATTTACAACCACAATTGGGATTAGAATGTTGGTCTCTATGTGGTTTTTAAGCAAGCAAGGACTGAAACTCTCCATGCACGTTTGCCCAAATGCTGCAATTCTCGTAAGTATGAAGACTGTCATAAGTCATTTTTTTCACTTCCGTGATAACTTCAAATGGTCACTAAATGGGGATTATTTATGTAGCCTACTCTTGCTTTAAGTGTCAGGGTTCCACATAGCATCCAAAATTAAATCAGAGTCCAAGGCAAAGTATTCCTCAGTGTTCCAATTTATTAAGAGAGTCATGTTGGCACATCTGGGAAAACCCAAATCTGAAAGCTTCCC